TTCTTGGATGAGAAGCAAAATGTTTTCAGAGAAAAAACAAAGTCCAGTTGCCTTTTGGAAAAAGCACTTTTGGGACAACCATGACCTGTATAATTGAGAATCTTCATAGATAGTTGCAGCTATAGCTAAAAAAAGTGGATGTATAGTCTGTGCTACTGCCATAAACATCTAAAGAAGAGTTTTTGTAGCCCAGCTCAAAAGTAAAAGCTAAATTTAAGCGGAATATTAGATGCCTGAGTTTATATATTCTTTTTCTTCATTTACCCTGGTTATGTGAAGATAAGACACATTCATTCCTGCTTTTATGTGCACCAAACAAGAATGGTGACTCAAGAAGTGCTTTGATAACAATCTGGAATAGCTAGTTAAAAGGAGTGAGTGTTTTTGATCTGTGTGGTTATGGTCAGAATTGAAGAGTGAACGAGCAAGCTAATTTATCAGAAACAAACAAGCCCATGATTTAAATGAACCTTTCTACAAAACTTTCCAAGTCCACCCTGCGGATTTCCCCCTTAAAGTTACTTGATTATTAAATGATGATGAAACCGCATCACTTTCCCACAAGTGGTGCATGCACACATGCATGCAGATAGCCACATGTATTTTAATATTCATCTTGTTCTATAGTAGGATATGGCTTAAAACAAGCTTCTTTTATCTTTTCTTATATTATTCCCAGCAACATTATATTTAGTAGAAAACTGTTTCTAAAGTTAAGTTCAGTGGTTGCATAGGAAAACTTCATGGTGACATCTCTACAGGATGCCCTATTTCCTAAGGACAGGGGTGTCAAACTCAAGGCCCATGGGTCGCATGTGGCCCTCCCAAGCTCCATTTTCACTGGCAGAAGGTTGCAGGAGGCCGTCCTGGCCAAAAACGGAGCTCGGGAGCCCGTTTTCACTGGCAGAGCACTTGCGCATGAGTGATGTCAAGCTGGCCATATTGAAACACAACCCTGATGCAGCACTCAATGAAATCAAGTTTGCCCTAGGAGAATCTAGTCTCTTAATCTGGATAGTAATTTCTAAAGGATATCTAGGCATAAAAGAGTTGTAGAGGCACACACCAGTAGACCAAAATGTTTGTTAAAATACCACCACTTAAGACTTAACACAAAACACCATGTAGTAATAAAACAATACGGGATGAAATTATAAGAGTTATCTGTACAATAACCTTATGACATTAGCAGAGAATTTGAAGGATGCTGTTAAATCATCTCTTTTACAGGTTATAGATTACTGTTTCTATTATAAACCTGAAATATTGAAAAAGCTAAAAGTACAACAAGAAAAAGAAAAAAAGTAGAAAAAAATAAAGAAAGCTACAAATAAGAGGCTCCCGATCTTCATAGCAGTTATAAGTACATTAATATTTTAACCTCTTTCTCTAAGGTTACATCATGACTCTCTTCTTTTTATAATCTATCCTCTATAACCGTAAAAAAAATAATCACATTTTTAAAAAATTTTATGCAAAAAGTCCATAAGGGCTATTAAATTGTTATACTGCGTTGCTCAGTGATCAAATAAAAGTTTATTGATTGATTAAACCATTACAGGTTTGTTTGTTTTTTTTTGCTACAAAGAGCAACATTAAGACTCAAAAGAATAGTTTGAGTATATTTTAAAAATATACTAGTTTGTATGAATAGGGAGGACAGCGTGTAAACTTAAGTTAATGAGGGGTTAAAAAGCCAGATTTGTGAAGATTTAATGACATTTTTTATTATATAGGCCAGTGGTCATTGTATATGTTTCTGTCTTTATCATTTATGTATGTTCATGAATGGTATCCTAGAAACTGTCATTGTTATTTTTATTATTATTTGAATGTGTGACCTTTCAAAGCCTTCTACTTAAGGTGCTTGAGAAATACTCCCCCAGAAGGTGGTTCTTCTTCTAACCTTTGTTGTGCTAAATCTACAAAGCTGTAGAAATTCAGATTAATTTAACAGTTGGGGAGGGTGGGGAAAGGAACCCTAGCTGTCTTCACAATAGAAAGGGTTTTATTTTTCCAAGTAAGCAGGGGTTCAGTTTACTGTCCGAAATGTCAGACTGCAAACTATATTCATAGCTTGGATAATCTACATTTCCAAGTTCCCCATTTGTTGATCTCTTTTCTTTTTGTTCCATATTTGTATTCTTTCTCAAGTGCAGCTTCTTTTTCTCGGTTCTAACTTGTGGAAGGAGTAAAGGAGGTAGGAACACCCAAGCACCACTCATTCGCTCTCTATTCCGTTCATAATATCGCAAATGCTGTCTCTTTGGTTTCAAAACCCAGCAGGAGAGACCTGCAACATTGCCCAGAATGTGCAAAAGCATTACCTGAGTAATAGTGTGTGGACTTGAATCACTGTTCCCAAGAGCATGCTAAGTAACAGCTTGTGGTTTAATCTGTTGAACTGCTTGATGTTTTTTGACCCCTTGTTGTCCTTGTGTTTGTAGCAGCCGTTTTATTTTCTCCTTGGAGATGAGAACAGAGCATTGTACCTTTTAAAGGAGAAAGAGAGAGAGAGAGAGAGAGAGGGCAGTCCTCCCCCCCCCCCCCCCCCCCCCCCCCCCCGTCTGCACCAAAAACTTGCTGGTTGTGTCTGTTTTGTGTATTGCAAAGTTGTTTTGGCCAAGTGCAGACAGGATTGAGTTAGGATGATGATGGAGATAGTAATGGTGACGACCATGATGTAGAGTTGCTTTTGCCATCTGAGCGCTGGGTTCTTCAGAGAAAGACTTTGCTTGGCAAGCTTGAATGTCTAGGTCAAACTCAAGGTCAAACTCAAGGCCTGGAGGACAGATCCGGCCCGTGGAGTACTTAGATCTGGTTTGTAGGGCCACCCTGGAAACAGCAAAGGACTGGCCACCAGGACTTCCGCCAGTGAAAATGGGCTCCCAAGCTCTGTTTTCGGCTGCCACGACGTCCGTTTTCACTGGCAGAGGGTTCCAGGAGACCATGGCAGCCAAAAATGGAACTCAGGAGCCTGTTTTTGCTGGCAGAGCGCTCAGGCCACCATAGGCAGGAGTGATGTTGAGCTGGCTACGGCCTCCCTGGCCATGCCCACTCTAGCCTCCCAAGGACAAACCCAACCCTGTTGTGGTCCTCAATGAAACTGAGTTTGACACCTGTGGTCTAGGTCAAGTACAGGGAAATAATAAGATGTCTCTTCTATTACTCCATTGTTAAATGTCTACTTTTATGAGGAAGTAAGTTTCATAAATTGGTTTAGTGGAAAATTTAATAATGTGTTCCAATTTCAAGATTTAGTTATTAGGAAGACGAAGATGAAATCTTTTCAGATTCTCCAGAATGGTCAAGTGTACTTGACTGGTTTCAATATGGGTAACATAGCATTACAAAGAGGAATGGTAAGAAACGTTACTGAATTAGAAAAAAATCTAGTCAAACATAATGCTGGGACTTATTTATAAATGGCTGGAGAAATATGATTCAGAGTCCGGACAAGCAAAAGAGTTTATGATTAAATAGATACAGAATTTGAATGTGGTAATAGAAGTGCAGCAGTGGAAATTTCATTGGAAAAAGAACATTTACTTTCCTCTCAACATTATAGTTAAGAGGAAATTGGTATACAATATTTTATTATTGGTATATTACTCCAGTCCCGATGGCTAAAATGAACAATTCCTTCTCTAAAAAAATGATGAAAATGTAATGTTGGATTATTTTTTAATATTTGGTAGCAATATTGTAAAGCACAACGATTCTGTAAAATAATGCACAGTAGAATGAAATAAATCTTAACAGGTGACTTTAAACTGTTTTATTAAATTGAGTAAATCATTCATTTCTTTAAATTATGCTGAATTAGCTTTGTATATGCTAACTACAGCAAGGATACTATGTTTTGGTAACATATGTTTTAGAAAGACTGATTATAAAATGCCTGAACTGTCAGTTAATATGTTTGCTTTGTACCTCATATACATTCTTTTTTCTATGTAAAGACTCTATATTTTAACTTCATGGGAAAGTTAGAGTGAATTTTCTGAACCGGTTCAATTTATTATAATTCTGGTTGATGAGTTTAAATGTGTTCCCGATCTTTATTTTTTAGCTCCATACTTAGTTTCATTGGTTTTTTTTTAAAAAGACAAATACATTCAATTGTTATATAATTAGTTAGGTGTTGGAAGACCGTAACCTCCATGACATTTTCAGATCCTCTGTTTGCCACAATGGGCTGAGCTGCCATGATTTGCCCTCACCTAGCAATTCAAAAGCATACACATGCAAATAAATAAATAGGTATCACATTGGTGGGGTGCTAACACTGTTCTGTACACTTCAGCACATGCTGGGTACATGACTGCGGGAAAGGTCTTTGCACAGTGCTGTGACTCCGTTGGCTAAAAAATGGAGATGAGTATCACCTCCTAGAATTGGATATGACTGAACAGGGGAAACCTTTACTTCTATATTCTTCCTTTGAAATGTCTAATAAAAATCTGATGATTGTAGGCTCTGGATTGGATAAGTTTCTATCTTGATTTGAATTGTTTAAATGATTTTCTGTTCCTAAATCAACCAGTCATAATGGATTTTGCCTAAGTCATCAAGCCTAGCAGATTTTAACTGATGAACTTTGGATAACTTATTTTAAGATACTTTTGGTGAGTTTTGTAAGAATCATGAGTTTGATTTAAAAAAAAAAAGAATAGTAGCTCTGTTTTATTTATTCTGCAGGTAACGGTGATAAGAACAAAAAAAAGATCTAGCAATCTTTTGGGTCAATCTTTTGGTTTATCTGGAAATACGTTGAGATATTTGAATAAATATTCACACTTCTTTCAGGATTTACTTTGGCTGCATGTACCTGCAGCATTAAAAAACCCATCTTTAAACAATCTCTACATATCTCAAAGTGTTGTTATCTGTACCACTATGATTAAATAAGAGTATTTAAATATATGTTGTTGCATATTTGTTATCAGATGATTCTGTGGAATAAGTATGTTGATCTTTTGAACTTTTTATCATTTTAGCACAAAGCCAAGGTAGAAGCAATCACCTTGGATCTTGCGTCTCTTCAAAGTGTATGGGAATTTGCTGAAACCTTCAAATCCAAGAATCTGTAAGTACTTAGAAACAATTATTATTTTTCTTATTACATTAGCAAGAGTTTGCTTTGCTGTTGTTGAATCAATTGAGCAAAGTTACCATAGATGGGAAGCTATTGCAATATTCATCTCTGTCTCTTTTGCAATAATATGGTCTGTATACTTCAAATGAGATTTAAGAGCTAAGTCGTTTTTATACTTTTGTTTATTATTAAGGGGCACAATTTACAGAGTCAGGGAATGATTGAGATTTAGAAAAATTCAAGGGCTATGAATGAGGTGGGTGTCTAAAGTATCTAAATTTGATAAATAAAATAAATACATTTCTTTGTTCTATCTTCCCTCTGTGCAATTCCAATAAATATATTGCTTTAAGACCAATAAATATAAATACGAAAAACAGAAAGTATGAATGCCATTGAGAGTTATGACAACTTGAAATGGGAAAAATAGAGAAACCTATGAGGGTTAAAGAAAGCAATGAATATGATGTATATGACTGAGTCTTTTTATCATAATGTATAGGCACACTCAAATTAGGAATATACACAAAATGCAAAATGCCATTTTCTATTTTGAATTTGGATGGATTCCAATGGCAGACAGGATCAACTGACTTCTAGCAACTGCTCAACACATTTCAGAAAAATTGGCCAAAGGCATAGCATAACATAACATAGCAATCAAAGCACAGGCTAGAACAGATGAGGAAGGCTAGATTCTAGATTTAAGAGGTGGCTGTTTGTAGGAACACAGTTTCATCAATCTCAGTCCAAGCAAAACCTCTGGAATATCAGTCCCCCAGAGATTAGAATGGCCTCCTCGCTAATATTCTTCCGGAAGGCACTAAAGACCTGGTTCTACCAGTGGGCCTGGGGAACCCAGAGTGGGATGGAGCCCATCAAATGGCTCGTGTGATCTGCGGTTGTCGGGGCGGATGATGGGAGTTGGGGGTGTTTTTCTCCCCCCCCCCCCGATTTTATTCTATTGCACTTTATTAATTTATTTGATTCTTTTTGTTACTTTTTATTGTTTTTTTATTTTAAATATGGTTTTACATTCTGTAAACCTCCTCGAGTCACCATGGGCGAATAGGTGGCAATATAAATTCAATAAATAAAATAAGTAAATAATAATAAATAAAAACTCAAGATCCTTTGGAAGGAGCCATGATAAATGAAAAGTAACATTAAATTTATTTCTTGGTTTGGATTGTTTGAGATGGGAATGGTCAAAGTAATAACTTTGGTATTCATATTCTTTATTGGTAAAGGATTCTCAGAGCAAGAACGTTGAAGATATAAATATGCAATTGCCACTTTTCAGCATGCATAACAATTGCAACCAAGAGCTCTATTTCAAAGGGGGATACAGGAAAGGAGCATGTTGGTATGGAAAGAGGGAATCTATTCTGTCTTGGCCTCCAAGCTCCTGTTCAGTTGCTGTCACCAGGTTGGAAAGGCCATGGTTCCTGAATTGCAGTGAAGATTTAGTTCTTTGCTAATTGCTCAACTCTCCAGGTTGACCTCAAATTGTGTTTGCTCTTGGGCAGCCTCACCTATGATGCTTCCAGCAAGCAAAAGACCCGGGTACATATTAAAACTAACAAACCAATAAGATAAAATGAGGCACAGATTGGACTGGAGCAAAAATATGGACTGTGATAACCTTTATATACTCGTATCAAGTAGAGGTTGATATTTTTTCCAGTTTGGGAAATTTTGTGGGAGAAAATGCTCTGCTAGATCTGAATGTGAGAAAGAAACTTACTGCAGACTGGTTTTGACCCAGATCTTTGCCCAGGGGAAGAAGGGCTTAATTTCATCCATGTTAAAAAAAAAGAAAAGAAAAAAAGATTGCCTTGTGTGCAGTCTAATGAGCTCCCACAGACCATTCCCTAAATGCTAAATATGCCATATCAGTCATTCAGCTGATATCTAAACCTAGGAATGTTGCAAGTTGAAGAATGACAAATAGCTCCCTTGGTTGAACAGCAGCTTAATGAAAGAGCCTTAACCAACAAGAAAATGATTCCGTGGGGAGAACGACTGTTTTGAGTGTGCATAAATAACATATGACTGAATATCTTCTACTTGGGGCAGAGAGTTTGAGGACAACAAATTGGAGCTGTCTTTTTAATAATAGCAGATACACACACACACACACACACACTCATTCATTCATTTATTCATTCATTCTTTGCAAATTGCTCATAACGATTGAGGAACTTTTTAAGGATTGTGAGTCATGATATCAAACATTGTTTTAGTTATTGTTTAAGGCAATACAGATAATCCTCAATTTATGAGCACAATTGAGCCCAAAATGAGGGAGTTTTGTCCCATGTTACGACTTTCCTTTCCACATTTGATAAGTGAATCACTGCAGATGTTAAGTGAGTAACACAATTCTTAAGTGAATCTGGATTCTCCATGAATTTTGCTTAGCAGAAAGTCACAAGGATATAACCCCAGGACTCTGCAACTATCATAGATACATGCCAGTTGCCAAGCATCTGAATTTCAATCACTTGACCATAGGTCATACTTACAACGGTCGTAAGTGTGAAAACCAGTCATTTGGTCACTTTTTTCAGTGCTGTTAATAACTTTGGACGGTTATTACACGAATGGCTGTATAAGACAAAGACTATCTGTACCCCTGATTAATGCCATTCATTTGAATTAAACTTAGTAGATAAAATTTCATTGCTGTATAATGCTTCTTTGTTAATTTATAAAGACTCTTTTGCTTGAGTATTCATGCTAATAGTTTTATTCCTGTCTGATGTCTGTCACACTAAGCAAGACCTAAGATAAGGCAGTGTCAGTGCTAGAGCTTTAAATGGTGAAGTAGTAACGTTGTGTCCCGCTAGTGGGACAGAGGTTCAAAATATTAATACCTTCATCTCTATGCAATTGAAGGTTACTTGGCAGAGGAATTTCTCATGCTAGCTCTTCTTGACCTCAGAAAATATATTCAGGATTCATGCCAAGGGTTTCGTTGGAAATAATTACATAGCAGAACGTGAAGCATCAAAAGTACAAAATGTCGCAATCATTATGACCATTAGAACAGAGGAAGGATTCTGCTGGATCAGAAAAATGCTCATGTACTCATGCAATCTAATTTAAAAATAACATATTTTACACCCAAGAGTAGCCCACCACCCCCTCTCGTTAGATAGATAGATAGATAGATGGATGGATAGATGGATATAGAGCTAGAGATATTTCATATATAGAATAGGATTTATGTTTCAATGGATATAGCAAATAAGATTTGAAAAGATGTATTTAAATTTATGGAACAATGGTTAGATTCAGAATGGTTCAAATATAATGTGAATGAGGATATTAATAAAAATGTTAATGTTTAGTGTTTATATGTAAAGTGTGTGATTGTAAATAGCATGAATTAAGTTTTGCTTAATGAATGTGTGATAGATTATTCCAGCAATGTTTGTCTGCCAGGATTTTTTCTCCAGAAGCATTCCGAATTAAAATTTATTGCAGTTTGTTCAGAGATTTTAAAATTCTTGCAATCCCTATTCTGCATGAAAAATATTTAAAAAAAATACAAATCCCCATTAAAAACAAAGAAAAACATGCATAATTCTTAACAACAGTGAGGCAGACTCCGCCCTTTAAAATACAAAGATAAAAAAAAAATCTATGATACTCTCTGAAGTAGAAATGTGCTAATTTCAATTCCCGCTTGTTTTAATGGCTTGTTTTAGTTACTGCACTATGATAACGTTTTTATATTGTATCTTATAATTGGGAGCCAGAACATCCAATTAAACCAAAGGGTGAGTTATTAAATTTTATAAATACAATGTGTGTTGTGCAGTTTCCTCCAGTAGTAACTTTGGGGGACGCTAAAAGCAACAGAAAGCATATGATGGATAACTCTACTGGCTTCAACTTGTTTAACCAGGGACAACTTGTTTAACCAGACTTTCATTGCTGCTTCATGCAAACTTGTCTAGATTATCTAATCAGAGGTTTATAACATTTGTGATTGGATAAGGCCTACAGCTTTTCTCACAGTAGTAGAAAACAGAGACACCTATCCAGTTGATGTGTAGAAGAAAATGGATCTCATGCAGAGCAACTGCTCCATCACATAGCACTCCAGGCAAAGTGTCTTCCATGGGAATATACACATACTTAGCAGAAACCTTTGAAGCAATTGTTCTGAGCTTTTCACAGATCATCACTTATCATTGTTTTAAGCAGCAAGTTCTAATGGGTGCTTGAGTTGCCTTCTTTAAGAAGATTTCTCTCTCTTCTGCATACGCAAATATTTCCCTAAGGATGGTACTATCTTCTTCTGAATTCCCAATGGTCTCTTTTGCTTATAATCCTGTCAACCCTTTCTGTCCTCCTTCTGGTTTCAGATACACACACCATACATAGTTGCTATAGAAATTAGCGCTTTACTCAAAGTCAAGGAAATAACAGCAGACAAAGAATGCAAGCTAAACAGTTTCTGAAGGAAGCTTGAGTGAATTTTTTTTGCTTTTAATAGGAACATACAAAAGAATAGTTCAAATACAGTCCACAGTTCCAAGATCCAAGTCAAGGTTGTCAGCTAGGAGATCAGAATTTCATGAGTAGATTCCACACCCAAATATCACAAAGAGCTTCAGATCAGATGGTTGCTTCCAACAAGAGGGTCAGGGTTGCTTTTTAAATAGGGCTGGGGCCAACTGTCAAATCAAGAAAATTACTCATGGCAAGGAGCCTCATAGAATATTTCTGCTTTGCAATCCTCTCTGTTCACCAGGTCCTGATGTAGTATCATATGTGATTCTTGGCTTTATGTCTCTTGAAGCTAACATTCCAAATCTTACTGGAGTAGTTTCTTCATGGCACTGTCTAAGTTTAATGTTGAACAATCATAACTGCACAGAAGGCTACTTTTCAGTAGATGCCAGCAATAGATCACAATGAGATACAACTTCTTCCATCATCTTCTGCTCTAGTTTCACAAAGATCAGTCGAATTGCTTAGGGGATCCACATTTGCCGCTTCTTTTTTTGCTGTTCTTAAATTAAGACACACAGTTTCTGAACTTCATAGGTAAAAAGTAATAACTCCCAAGTTCCTTGGTTTAGTGATCTTTCCATTGGTGGTTTGGACATTGTGGTTGTTGTCTTAAAAGGAGAAACCATGCTTGCTAGGCAGTGGTTTCCCCCAGTTGTGTTGCAACTACAATTCCTTGGCCAAACGATCCCAACCTATGTGAAAACTAAGTTCAAGATATATTTGGTTTTAGTTGGGTTAAAAGGTCTTATACTTTGGTAGAACCAGCCATGAGGGGCATGTTGGGAAGATAAGCATGTAAAATATTTATGATTTAATATGTACAGCTATAGTATCTTTTGCTGCAAATAAAGCCGTAAGCATTTTGCAGTTTTATAGCTTTTATGGCTAATGAGAGAATTTTTAAAGGGTCTGTGTGTACAGTATTTTAATTAAAATTTTAATTTAAAATAATAAAACCATGAAGAATATTACAAAGTGCAATAACAATCGATATAATGGAATTTTTAACAAATACGTTGATTAAAAGCACTATATGCTATAACTTTCTTTAAAAAAGTTTTTAAAAAGTGGATATGAATCTTTGGACTAATATACATGATTACACATTAGTCATAGATTTTGAACAGAGGTGAAGAAAACTTCTTAATTCTGGATGTTAAGCATGCTTATTAATGAAGTTATGTTTCTTATTCAACATAACTTTTGCTTCTGGAGTATAGCCATGTAACTTATGAATGCAACTCATAGTTTTCTTTTGAGTGCTGATAAAATGCAGACCAACCTCTATAGAAGAGAAAGGTATGCATTTCAGTACCCAGGATTTTATCACTGGGAAGGCCATTGCTGAGAATCTTGGGATTTGAAGTCCATAGATCTAGAAGTTACCAATAATGGGAAACAGAGATGTAGAGTATAAAGCAAATAACATACTGATCAGTGGTGGGATTCAACTTTTTTTTACTACCGGTTCTGTGGGCATGGCTTGGTGGGCATAGCAGGGGAAGGATACTGTAAAATCTCCACTTAGAAGTGGTATTTGCTGGTTCTCCGAACTACTCAAAATTTACGCTATCAGTTCTCCAGAACTGGTCAGAACCTGCTGAATACCACCTCTGATAATGATCAAATAATAAACATTATGGCAGCTGAAGATATGGACCACAGACTATTTAATCTTTATAATAACCATTATTCTTCAGATTATTTAATAGTTCCCATTCAGTGGGATCTGGAAGTTTTGTTTTGCTTTCGTAGCAAATAACTATCTCATATCTGTAAATTATTCATTGAATTTGTCCCCACTCCATTGTGAGGTATCTTGAGATAGATATGCAGAAGGAATTTCCTGTATGGAAACCCAACTATATTTTCTGTATGAGAACATGGGACAGATCAATTAAAACTAGTTAACATTATAGCTTTGTGACTGATATTATGAGGCATGGTTTTTCAAAATGGCTAGAAATAATGTCTTAACTCATCTGAAGGCCACCAGATTTCTGAAGATTAATTAAATATATATTTCCATATTTGTGTTTACAGAGCTCTCCATGTGCTAGTCTGCAATGCTGCTGTTTTAGGTCTTCCTTGGCAATTAACTGAAGATGGCCTGGAAAGGACTTTCCAGGTGAATCATTTGGGACACTTTTATCTCATTCAGCTCCTCAAAGATGTTCTTTGCCGCTCAGCTCCCGCAAGAATCGTGATCGTTTCTTCTGAATCACACAGGTTAGTTCTGAAAGGAATGTACTCACCGTTTTTTTTGTTTTTTTTTGAAATGCAATTGAACCTTTTTCCTGAAAGTTTCACTGAACTTTTTTAGTGTTTTGATATTATTTGTTACTTTCTTCCCTAGTTGCTCTGGAACAATAGTTTGAGTCAGTTCCTAAGTGAAAAAACATATTTTTAATAGGTTGTTCAATGTTAGGGCGCTTGACTCCAAAAGTATCTGACTCCAAATAACCGGGGAGCTTCACAAATTTAAAAGAACAACAATTTCATGCAACAACAAATTTCCATAAAGCAACCACCATGACCACATATCCCTCCATTTAAAAGGATCCTGTTCAACCATCTTAACCCCAAGACAATGCATAGTGTTTAAAAGAAAGTTGTGGTAGAAAATATATTTAGAATTCTACATTAGAAAACTATTTAATAGTGCAGCGAAAGGATAGGCAAATTTATCTTTGCTGGATTTGCTGAACTTCTACCAATCTGAGTTATTTTAGACAAAGGAAGTTGGGAAACCATAATATAACATATCTGGAGAGCATCTGCTATCGTGCTAGGTAGTCAACCATAAAGTGCCCAAAGTGGTTCTGATCTATTCACATAACTTCACTTTACTTCACAGGGTTGTTAAAAAGAAATAGATGAAAGAAAAACCATAGATATTATCCAAAGGATCACACAATCGATTTGGTTCATGTGCTTGGATGTTTTCTTCTTCTGGTTGCAATATCCTCTGTCTTGACTATTGAGTAAACCACTAGAGCGGGAATGATTGGCTTTCTTTCATGTGGCATTTGAGTAGCCTGCTGGCACTTCAGAGTAGGAGGAACCTGAACACACATTGAATTTAATATTTGATTGATCGCATCTGATTGATCTTTGCCTATTGGATATCTTCCCAATGCATTCAAAACGACAATGAAATTGGAATGGCTCTGTGATTGTCCTCTCAAACCCTTTAGATGCCACATGGTTTTCTTCTTCCACAAATGGCAGGGACCATTTATAGATTAACACTACAGACTATTCTGGGAAAGATGCTTTCTGCTCACTGCTATGGTTCTCGGGATCTTGTGGGCCAAATTAAATAAATAAAATATTCAGCTCTTTACTGGAAAGTAGGTGAATGGTAAATGGACTGATGATCCAATTCTATGACTAGATTGTGTCTTAATCTTCATATTGAAGCAGAGGTTCTTTGCCGAGGAATGCTTTTGTTCTGCCAGCTGGTGAAACAATAATTGATTAAATCTGAATGGTGTGACTTTTATTGATTTGCCATTCAACATCTTCAGTACTGTGCCAGGAAGAATTCACCTTTACTCTAATTGGAAGCTAATGCAATTACTTTTAGATTAAATACACATTTGTGATTTTTCTCTCTCTCTCTGAATATGTATGTGTGGATGTTCTTAATTGTTAGGCAAGGAATTTCATGTGGACCAAAGCTTTGTGCAAAGGAAATAGTGTGTTCTGAATGCTTTCCACCATTAAACCCCGATTTGGAAAATCTTTTGCTTGAGATTGAAATATGGCATAATGTTTTCTAGTGAATATGGAATTGGTTGACTAACTCTTATTTTTTTCTAATCACCTTTTTAGCAAAGCCCACCATCCTTGAAAAATCCTGTTCAAAATGCCCAATAGCATCAAAGCTTTTTCTTATGCTACTCAACTAGCATCTTTTTCTCTCTCTCTCTTCCTCCCTCCCTCTTTCTCTCTCTCTCTCTCCTAATGCTTTTTGATAATAATAATAATAATAATAATAATAATAATAATAATAATAATAATAATAATAA